ATATAGATATCTAAATATATATATTTATACATATATATATATATGTACATGTATATGTATATGTATATATTCATGTATATGTCTATATATATATATGTGTGTGTGTGTGTGTGTGTGTGTGTGTGTGTGTGTGTATATATATATATATATATATATCAAGTATCTTATATATTTTCTGATACCAAGTGTGTATCATGTACTGACATACACCTTATACTCGATGCATATACCGAATTTGCGTGTTTAGGATCTCTACTTATTTGATGTTCTGTTGTCATGAATATTAGATCATCGTACTCTAGATGTTATGATATATGTTTCCTGTGTCCCTATATCTAAAAAGATTGAATATCAATATCTCGTGATTTTGTCCGTTCATGAAGTACGTAGGTGTTATCGATGTTTGTGCCGACTCAGATACACCATCTTTTAGCTAACACCATGCTAACAGCCAATCACTTTTCGACGTTGTTAAATCTATTTTTAGCCCAGCTGAGTGCCATGCTTGCAAGTAGCGCATGGATCATTTCGTCGGTGTTTGTTATGACTCTGGTGACGCCCATCTCCTTGGCAGTGGTCGCCCCAATCATGATTGTATTTCTGGTCCTTCAGAGCTATTTCAGGTGAGTTAACCTATTTATAGATCAATTTGGTCTATTTAAAGAACGGCTCAATATACATACAACAATGTATTGCCGATGGTTTGGTGACGTCCATCTCATTGGCAGTCGTCGCCCCAATCATGATTGTATTCCTGGCAGCCGAGTCAACCTTGTTATACAACAATCAATTCTAATAATAGAACGATCATTATATGTATAGAACGAGTCGAGCATGTTTTCGAGTGTATATCCTATGGTCTTAGCAGTTTGCCGCTTAAGTATTATGTATTTGTTTATTTAGTGTTTGTGTGTGTGTGTGTGTGTGTGCGTGCATAAACAATCGTATGTGGATATATCGCCACCGTTTTATCTCAGTCAGTCGCTCGCTCTTCCAAGCACACTTTGCTGAGCTGTTAGCAGAATCGAACGGAAGCGTACAACCTAAATATCATATACACATAACTCACACATCTCCAATCACATACCTATCAATACACACCTGCACCCATACCTACCTCTGTCCCTACACACTCCCACAGGCGTACGCTGATGCAACTACAACGCTTGGACTCAGTCAGTCGGTCACCCATTCAGGCGCACTTTGCAGAGAGTTTGGCTGGAATGGCTACCATCAGAGCCTACGGGCAGTCACAGCGGTTTATAAACATGAATCAGACTATTGTGGATCGCAATAATACGGCGCTGTTGGCCTTTACATCGTGTCAGGTGTGTGTGTGTGTGTGTGTGTGTGTGTGTGTATGTATGTATGTATGTACGTATGTCTGTGTGTGTGTATGTCTGTGTATGTATGTACGTATGTGTGTGTGTATGTAAGTATGTGTGTGTGTGTCTGTACGTATGTGTGTGTAAGTGTGTATGTACGTATGGGTGTGCCGGGAAGTGATATTATTTGATAGTTATAGTGCTGTTCTTAATTGTGATAATCATTTGATTAAAGCCATTTGCTTTGAATTGATATTGTTGTAAAGTAATAGTGTTGTGCTTAATTGTGATAATCATTTAGTTAAAGTCATTTGCTTTGAATTGATATTGTTGTATAGTAATAGTGTTGTGCTTAATTGTGATAGTCATTTAGTTAGTCATAAGCTTTCAATTGATATTGTTGTATAGTTATAGTGTTGTGCTTAATTGTGATAGTCATTTAGTTAGTCATAAGCTTTCAATTGATATTGTTGTATAGTAATAGTGTTGTGCTTAATTGTGATAGTCATTTCGTTAGTCATAAGCTTTCAATTGATATTGTTGTATAGTTATAGTGTTGTGCTTAATTGTGATAGTCATTTAGTTAGTCATAAGCTTTCAATTGATATTGTTGTATAGTTATAGTGTTGTGCTTAATTGTTGTGTTAGGGTTTATGTTTTTAGAACCCTAAACCTCTTATTTAGTTGTAGTCATGTGCTTTGTATTGATATTGCTATATATTTATAATGATGAGTTTAATTTTTGTTCTTATTCAGCTATAGTCACTTTGTCTGATCTGACATTGTTATATACTTATAGTCATGTGCCTAATTGTTACTATATACCTACACACTTGTTTTCCCGCCATCTTATCTACCAACACAGACAGATCCACATCATACAAACCTTGTTCTTCGCCATATACCACTCCGCTGTTAACCTGTAGTTAACCTGTAGTTAACCTGTAGTTAATCTGTGCTATACACTCCACCCATTACAGAGATGGTTGGGTGTGCGTTTAGAGCTGATGGGAGCTGCCATCACTCTGACTGTTTGTCTCTGTGCTTGGCTCGGTCGTTCGGGTCTGACCGGGGGACTGGCTGGTAAGATCTATTAATAGAATGAGTGTTGTTTTCTGATTCGGTATGCGGTGCTGCGTGCCGGCAGTGAACCAATTGAAAAGTATATTCCCGGGTTTTTAAAAAAACCCTTCTATTTATAGATTTAAGGTTGAACATTGCCCTCAACCTTGTGATCGTCCTCTCTTCTGAGTGTGCGTATCCCACTGGTGAATGAACCGACTTGTGCTATTTATAGATTCTAGAATAACTATTTATATAACGTGTTATTCCTGGTTATTTGGGATATTGCGTGCGCACAGCCGGTGCCACAATGGTAGTGCTAACGGATGAGGTGTATTTGTAGCACATACACTAAGCTCTATTTATAGAACATGCTAAGTTCTCTATTTATAGAAAATTTCAAGTTCCATTTATAGAACGTACTAAGTTGTATCTATAGAATACGCTGACAGTTGCCTACACCCCAATTATTCGACAGTCCACAATTAATACATCCTCGCATAGGAGACTGCTAGTTCTTGTGAGTTCTGTTGTGGTTCATATACAACTCAAATCAAGGGTGAGTGTTCTTATTTAGTCATGCGCGTAAATTGCCGCACACAGGTCTGGCGATTATGTGGACGTTCAACATCACCGTGTCGCTGAACTTCTTTGTGACGTTTGCGATCCAATCGGAGAGCAAAATGAACAGTGTCGAGAGAGTGGTGCACTATGGTATGCAGCAAACACGCCACAGGGGGCACTCCACAGTGAGAGTTTGTGAGAAGTGTTGAACGATGATTTGGTAAATGTGATGGATAAATGAGTATATATATGTATATATATATATATATATATATATATATATATATAT